ACTACTCATAATGGGAGGAGTCTTTGTAGCTTTATACCACTTGGTTGCACATCATTCTGATTAAACCTGCGCTGCTGTATGGCATTAGCTCATTTTTGCTTCGGACGGCGTGGAGAACAGCAATAGCAGCAGTAGGAAGGTGGTGGCTAGTCCACTCCTTCACACCTAACAAGCAACAATTGACTGGTCGTGGCAAAGGAGGAAAAGGTCTGGTAAAGGAGGCGCAAAGTTCTTCGAGATAACCGCCATCGGTCGTCTGGCTCGCCGTGGTGGTGTCAAACGTATCTCCGGTCTGATCTACGAGGTGTGCTGAAGGTGTGTTCTTGGAAGATGAGGTCCGTGATGCTGTCACCTACACTAAACACGCCAAGCGTAAGTGGCCATGGATGTCCTCTTCAATAAAACGGCCATCAAGCTTGGTACGCCTACAATTCAAAAACGGAAATAGTTGAGATAATAGATAATTGATCAATTAAAAGAACTAAATGCTCTTCATATTTATTCCGTCCTCTAGCGGTCCTACGTGAAGCTTCCGTTCGTGCCCCTGGGCACAGACCCTTCTAATTTTATGCTATGGAAATCAAATTTTTGTACCAATTTCCCGAAAAATTCGTTCAATATAATCTAGTATTTTGTTGATTACCCTAAGAATTGCTAAAATAAATTATGCAAATCAAATAAGTTGTAAGCATTGAGATCCACGAAAAGTTAAGAAAAGTATTGGCACTTCATTTCTGAATACCACTACAATAATTTGATAATCTCTACGATTTTTCAATAACATTCTAGGTGTTCAATTAATCATTCACTGCTACCGACACTTTGAATCACCTGCCAGGGGGTACAGAGCCCAATCATAGTTCAGTCAATTTTGGTCACTACAATAGACACCGGGACTCACCTGCCACGAGAAACATGAATCACTGTTCATTCAGTCATCCGATCACTACAATAGCCACTACGAATCACTTCCAGTCAACCGGTCACTACAAATTAGAATTTGGAATCAAAACTTTTACCCTCGCTTTTACCACACACTGCTTTCCAATGCATACCTTTTTTTGCATGCCTACTTCGATTTAACATCACGAGTAAGTGACGTATGAAGGAGCTGCTCTATGTATAAATGCAAAAAAGCGATTATCTGTACACGGTTTACTATAGTTTGGTAAGAAGCAGTTCGACAGAGAATACTAAAGAAGACTAATGATTTGGTATGCACTGGGCAGCATTTTAAGTATGCTTTCAAATGTAATTAGCCTGGTTTGCCAAGCTTTGCCCAACTTCAAGCTGTTGGCCTTGGAAATAGTGCTAATTTTGGGTCAAACCTTGAATATCTTAAGAAATATTGAAGTTAGGAACTTGCTTCTCAAAACAAAATGGCGTATTTAAAAAAAACAAAAATTTGTGTAGAACAAATGTACTAATGCCAAAAAATTGCTTCCTGAAAAGTTATTTGCAGATCATTGATTTTCTGAAGAGACAGCGGGTTGACGTCTTCAGCAAAAATGTTTGATTTAATATTGTCTAAAACTTTGCTCAAAATACCAATTTGCTATCTCGACAAACAAAAACACAAACACAGTTCATTTTTTATCTCCCTGCTAGGTAGATTAATCATGAAATGGCTAAGTCTATAAGAAGGGGCTTTTTGAGTGCACAAACTTCTCCCAAGACACTATATGGCTTAAATGGACGTACGTTTTGGCACTTTTAGACCACTGTGCAATGTCGTCCGAACGTTGCTGGTCAATCCGACGGAAAAGATTCAGAAGCACTACACCTTTCTGCTCAATCTGGAAAAAGAACTGCTGAGGGTGAAGAAGCATCACATCCCGGGCAAGAAGCTCTCGGAGGTTCTTGACGTCGGAATGGATTATGCTAACAAGAATGATCCCAAGCTAAGACGTACGGTTTTGCCATCGGGTTGGAATTCCGGAAGATTTCGATCGTAGTACCTCAACCAGTAAAATATGGATTAAAAATTCTAAGTTAATTATGTTGAGTGAAAGTAATAAACATTTCGTGTGATGAAAAGTAGTTCGGTATTGTTCAAGTGAGTTTAGTTGGATAGATGACCAATTGACCAAGTGCTGGTGATTTGCTGCTGAAAAGTAGGGTCCTTACAAGTCTTACTCCCGAGCCGTTGCCTCCACATCAAATTTTCAGCAGCAAATCAACAACTATCGGTCAATTGGTCATCTACCAAACCAAACTCACTTGAACAATATCGAAATACAAATCACGGCACAATCACACGGAATTTGTATTGCTTCCAATCAACCTAATTAACTTACAATTTTTTATTTTATGTTACGAAAATCGAAATCCATTTATTTCATCTCGTATAAGATGACAGATATCAGGAAACAACACTGCTCTTTTTTCGCTTATTTTACGTTATGGTTAAGAGTATCTGTATTTTGGAAGTTTGAACTTCAAAGACGAAGAATATTAGAACTTTCAAAACGTCTATATAAATTATGTTATGAGCCTTAGTTGTCTATTAGTTTGAATTTTGGTTGGTGTAAATCGATATCATCAGTCTTTTTGATTAATTTAAATGGTTAGTTTCACATTTTTAAACGTTTCATCCACTTAGTGAATTTGACGGTAAGATGACTGGGGAACAAGTACTATTAGTTATTTTTTTGTGCGATAAAAATCAAAGCGATTAAACATAACAGGATACAAATTAAATTGTCCGAAATCATTGTTGATGGTTTATCAAATATTCACCATTTATCTTTATAGTTCTCTCGTTCTGAGTTAGATTGATGGCTGAGTCTGTACGAAGTTTGAGCAATTTAAGTAAAACGTTGTGGTCGCACACGTTAGGTTTATTTACGTTGTTATTTGAAGATAAAAGGCAATGGTTTGTGGTCGTCCTGCCATGGCGGAGGCAATGATTATATTGCATATATTTTATTTGTAATTAAATTACGGAGGCAGAAAACAATATTACATATAAAAATAATGACATCTATGGGTTCATAACGAATGCATTTAAAAAAAATTACTGACTTTAGCGACACAAACAGGTAGTGAATCCACCTATGCATCGCCAATCATAGCAACTCTGTTGTGTACTGAAAAGAAATGACAGCGTTATCAGTTGATTTTCAGCAGCCATGGCGAAAACGGTCAAGCAACTACGCTCGATGGTTTGTTCGTACTGCCAGCTCTACCCCGGAACGAAGACGTTAGACATAGTGAGGCACTACATCCTCTCACTTCTGGAGAAAAGCGAGAGCGTCGAACGAAAGCCTGGTGCTGCGCGATCGTAAAGTGCAGCAGAAGCTGCAGAGGAAGAGCGCGGGCAAGGTGACTCTATTATTCCGCGCCTTGGGCCGGGATGTCGGAGCAACTGGTCAAACGGCGAAGAAGTACCTGGACAAGATGGGCATTGTTATGTGGAAGCTTCAGTCGATGCCGGCCGGGCCTGGAGGTGCTGGTGAAAACATCATTCCGGCGAAGCGCGACGTCGTGGTCGTGGAAGACCTCCAACCCTCCCAACCCTCCTCCACCAGCTACGACCGATAGAACAAAAATTTGGCGAACCTCAAACGGAGGATCTATTCCAATAATTTCGTGCCCAAAACAAAGGAGCAGCTGATCGTCAAGGCCACGCCACGAAAGAGCTGAAGAACATGCCTACAATCATTTTTTTTTCGGCCATGGCTACGGCTCCGGCCAACTGCCGTAAGGCCATCCGGCAGGGCGTCTAAGCATTTTTGTAGAAGGCTTTATAAACGAAGGATTTAAGGAAAATTTGTTTTGAGAACAGGTAGTTTTCAAGCATCCTTATAAAAATTGCATTGTCTCGAAGTACAAAGAAACAAATTAGCTGAACAAAAATAATAAACGTATCGTAAATACTCAAAATTCCTCTATAAATCCGAACACTGTTGAAAGTTGATTATCTCTGCCTGCTATGCTCAAAAAGGCACGAATATTTTATCATGGTTTTTTGAATCATTCTAGAGCATCACATTTATTTATTATGCTTCAATGTAGACATTTCCGGATTAACGGACCGTCCGGTATTCGATGCATTACGGAATACATTAAGGTGAAAAGCTAGATGGACTGGAACGAAAAATTTGGTATACATATAGTAGTTTATATACGAAATTGCAATTGTTTGTGCAAAGTCAGTTTTATACTAAACGAGTTCAAATTTAAGGAGGATGATCAGGAACCAATTTGAAACGGATTGGTCTGCTCCAAAAATTTCAAAATATTAACTTTTTTGCTTAGATCAAAAGCAAATCAAGTTCAAATTGCAAAGTCTCCGTTGCGAAGATTCATTGAAATAAATTTCATTCAGCTCAAGCACTAGGTTTGCCACGCAGCGTATCGCGACCCGTCACACGGAAACCTACACCATCAATTGTTGATTACGGACTGATCATTGCCCAAATTCGACGCACCCAAACAATCTAATTATGATCCCATTGATCATATCTGTTCGTATCTTCATGCATACATACATACCTACCTACTCCCAGCCGGACCCGGTCCAGTTCAACAACCGACCCAAATCGACGACGCGCCGAAAATATAAATGCACCCTCTTCGTACGTGGTGGCGAGACATTGCCATGCGGACACTCCACGAGTTCAGGGTCGTTGGACGGTTTAGATTCTGCACATCGTCGTCTTCGTTGGCTCCGTCTCGCTTCACCGAAAAACTGCACATTTCCACCATAAATTAATATCAACAAAGGCACTTTTGCATCACTAGGAATGCACTTCGAATCCAATATCAATACTCACCACGATGGACGTTTCTTTGTGGTAGTTTTTTGTTCTTATTCTCCATTCGCGTGAAGGCTTTTGAACTGCATCAATGCCATTTTGATTGAAACTAATCAACAGCGACAAAGTAGCCCGCGGGAAGAAAGAGACAGCCGTTGCATTTGACATCAGCAACGCTTGCTTGGATGGGCGCGGAGGGGATCTGTGATACATTGTTTTTATTGGCAATTGATCGTTCGCTTGTTATTTTTCTCAGTGCTTTATTGGGGCCGTCTTGGTACGATATCATACAGGAAAGAGCTTTTCGTATGGTGCCAGCGCAAACACTTCGTTAGCAATGTGCTGCAGTCGGAAGCCAAGCTGCACTCGGAGGTCTTTTTCAATCAGCTTAACAAATTCGGGCCGTGAGACACTGTCAAAGTGTCGGTTCGACCGCGGAATGTGAGTGCTGTGGTCCATATCGTTGATCATGTAGTGACCCATCACCAGATCGATGTCTGTTACGTTGAGGCGTATGTGCTCGATACCGGATGCTGATTTATACAGCTCACCTTGAGCCCGGAACTTTGCCGTTGAACTCCCTGTTGAATAAAACGACAGATTAAAACGAGGCTTATTACGAAGGGGAAAAAAAAACTTACTGATGGAAATTGTCAGGATTGTATTCTCCGTCGCATCGTGGTTCTCGATGGATTCGGTTGAGTACATCCCGAGCAGTTCCAAAGCAGGCATCAGGAGGGTGAGACTTAGTTCTTTCTGACTGAGATCAACACTGTTGGGAATGTGTGATTAGTTCTGATTTCAAAATTAACTAGGGTAGATATAATTATATTGTTTACCTGGTATCATGAACGAAGCTGTTCTTCAATCCTACTAGATACCGATTGACGAAAACTGCCGTGAACTCTTTGCTCTGATGGGTGATTGTCATATTTGGGAGTAACAGAGGATCGAATGGCGTCACGGATACCTTCGGAGATAGCTTCCCGCTGGCCATGAAGTTTACATAGTGCTGTATCGAGTTCCCAACGCAATCGCTCAAATCCGATAAACTCCGCGGACATCCTTCCGTTGCTTGTCGTCGTCCTGTAACAGAGTGAAATGTTCAAAATTCAGCATCACGATTTCAGTTAAAAATGTAGATCTTACGAGTTGGTGCAGTCAAAGCTAGGTGAAAGCTGGCCAGTAGCAGCAGACATACGCCGGATGAGACCATTTTGTTTCTTGACAGAAAATCACAGATTCAGCGCACTGACGGGACTAGAACTCCGCACGACACCAACGATCGATCTCGACTGCGACTGTGCCAATCAATCGCTTCGGTCCAGATTGTACAGCTCTAATATGTTGCAAAAATTATCGTTTGCCAAAATTCACCCCATCTACGACAAGTATCTTCAACGTCCAGATAGGTCTTCAATGGGGAGAGTCATCCCAGTGTTTGAACATATGCGATCCAAGCAAGCACTGATCAATTGAAATTCGCGTTGATTCAATTAAATGGTGGCGCTTTAGTGGGCCTGACTGCCATCTCTTTCCATCTCCCATCAACGGCTATCCCGAATTGCAACTGCGAAGTGATGCAGAAATGGACCATATCTCGATATTGCACCCCGATTCCGACAAGCTGAAGGGAGAAGTGGTGTTCTCAATTCACGAGGCTAGTCCCCTTGATTGACCGATCTTTGCTGCGTTGAACCCGATTGCTCCGGAGACGGAGTGCATATTTTAAGCACGCTCTATTTCCATGACAACCTCTGCGACAAAACCAGATCCAATTGGTGCCCCCGGAGACGTTGGCAGACAGACTACTGCGACTGAATCGTTCGACGTCGTTGCCGACGTCTAATTGATGCGAGGAACTTTTTTTTTTTTATTTTTGGCTAGCGCTGAGCAAGCATTCATTGAAGAGAAATGAAACATCGTAGCGAAAATTGACTCAATGGATCTGATGAATATTCGGTGCGAGATGATGGGAATAACTGTAAATTGTATCGTGTGTCTATGACGACGGAATGGGCAAAATTGTACCGGCTCTGCTCCGATAATTCCATTCATGCTCTCTTGTAGGCACATCTGAACGAGTTTGGCTGACTGCGAACGGTCGATCAACTCCTACCAATCGCGAGCAACAGGTCCATAAAACAAAGTGGCAAAAACTAGCCATTTGATGCGTGAATGGATTAACACGAAACGTGTTGACATAGGTCAGGGAACGAACCGCAACTTGAAAGCTTTCGATAGCTGCGGAGTAGCATGCGAGCTGGAAGGATCTTTTGAATGATGCGTCGAACGGGTAGTGAGTTCTTGATAGCAATGTTGCATAGAAGTTCTTGCGTACAATGATGTTGGCCCCACACAGTGGTTTGGATCTGCGCTACATGAATTGAGATTGATAGGGCTATCGAAACACTTATTTGAGGATCCATTTGTATGGGGATCAGGCCAATCATAACTTTGTGAAACTGAATAATTTAATTCATACTGAAAATGCTCTTGTTATTTTAATAAATAATTTCCACGTACAATTACAGAATTCTTCAATTAAAAAATTAAATTTTGAATCTTGATGAACTAAAATTTGTTGACCAAACAATGATACTCTAAAAAAAGAGTATGTGTTACATAAACAATAATACATCGTTATTTATTATATGCTTCCAAAAAAAAGTTCAAAAAGCTATTACTTTTCAGTATGTGTATCAACATTTCTAAAATTTTATCTGGTGGGGAATCAAAAATTAAAGGTTTATCGGCATAGACTGTAGTTGGATTGGCAGAGTGTGTATCATCTGCTGAAGAGTTCCAATAGTTAAAAACTGAAGCCGATTCCTTATTGATGCTTCCAAGCCAGGTGAGACTGATGTACTACCAGACTGAGGAAATTTGAAGATGAAGCCGTATTACCGGACCAATTGTGGAACAGCTTTAGGGGCGCAGTATCACTGGCGGGCGTGGCCATATACCAGTTCTTGTTACCTGACAGCAGGGATGCCAAATTTGAAGACATGTCATTATATTGAATTGTTTGTGATGTCCTTATTCAGCGTTAGACTGATGCGAAATCAAATGATGCTCCAAATGTGAATTTCTCAACTCTACGCTCCAATCTAATCACCAGTTTGTACAAAAATAAATATTCATTTATTAATACAAATAAAGTTCTATTTACATTCGTCGCCTGTACGTATGTATCACTGCGATAACCTCTCCCGCGTCACATAGCACCCATCACTGACTCGAAAAGAATTTTTCGAACGGCGCCAGTCGCAGAATATCGTTCAGCAGTTGCTGGAAGTTCGCCCGGAAGCTTTGCGTAAATTCGCTCTCCACAATCGAAAGGATGTTTCGCCCCCGTTCCAGATCGAACATTTGGCTGTGCTCCGTGTAGTTTCCACTCATGGTGAACCAACCGAAGCCCACCGTGTGATCGCCGATGGTGATGTCAAAATCCGTAATATTTACCCGCACGTATATCCGGTCGTCGCTCTCGTAGGTCATTCCCTTTAGGTGCATACGCAGGGTGGAGTTTCCTAAAAATAAACTCGTTAGTCTCAAAGACGATCAGATTCCAGCAACATGCATCTCACGAATCGAGGAGAACATTTTGGCCCACTCTGCTATCTGTCTGTCATTGGCCAGTTCAGCCCTGTACGATCCATGCACATCCAGAGCAGGCATATGGAATTGCAGCAAAAATTCAAGTTTGTTCAAATCTGCCCTGCAAAATTCGGTCATTGTTAGAAGATGATTGATACAATTCAAATAGCACGACCTACTTCACATCTGTGACAAAGGAATTCTTAAATCCTCGCATCTCCCGGCTCTGGAAGTACGTGTGGATGTTCCTGTTTCGCACCAGGGTGGCATTCGGGAACGCAAGCGGATCGATTGACATCACGTATATTCGATCGGAGATCTTCCCATTGGACATGTACGAAACGTAGTACTGGATGTTATCTTGGATACACTTGTTCAGAGAGGGCGACTGCCGTGGGCATCCATTACCTTCATAACCTGTATTCAGAGGAGCAGAAATGTGAATGTGAATTAACATGTTGAATTGTTACTATAATGAATAACATAATTACTGAAATATAAGAAACATTTCCGGTCATAGACCATTGTTTCGACCAGCCTTTTTGACTGTAACCTCTTATTGATCAAATCTGGTTTTGTAAACCTGTGATCAGTGAAAACGTGTTCGGTTCAATGATATTATTTGAATAAAACCAGTAGTGAGGATGGGCAAGCCAAACGTGTTACTTCTCCATTGTTAAGAATTGTCATATTGAAGTTGTCGCAGAGGTCATATATCAAAAAAGAACTGTTGTCATCATACAAATCCCCGCCTGTACCGTGGGAATTAAAATCTGCCATCATCAACCGTGGAGTAGGAAGAACTGAACAGATATCTGAAAATGGTTTTCGATTAACCGAAACTCGGGGAGGAATGTACACAGAAGCAATACAAAGACTCTTACCTTTAATAATAGCCTAACATGCGACAACTTCAACACCAGGAAATTGTGGAAGATTCGCTTTATAGAAGGAATGGCAACTTTTTGATCAAAAAAAAAACACTCCTACTCCACGCGAATCCTCACGATCCAGTCGAATAATATTAAAATCATAAAAAGGAAGATCGATATCTGAAGAGAGCCAAACTCTACCTATATATATAAACTGATTTGTGCTTTTCAGAGGTGAAACACTTAACTTATCGACTTAATTTTCCTTAGTCAGGAATACAGAACCATTAAAAAGTCCTTAGCATCAAGTACTTCGGAGTCTCATATTTTTTTGAAGTCCTGTGGGGATTTTACCGATCAGACTTATAATTGAGGTCCAACTCGTGCCGTGTGACTCAGACTTTCCCATTTGAAGAGTTTTCCTATACTGGAATCTTAATTATTTTGTAAGCATGAAATTTTAACAACTGTTTGAAGCCTCAGAATTTTTAAAGCTATTTACCCAATCCTGAATCTTGAATTACTATGTCCGGAGCTTGAGCAAATGATCGATGTCTGATCTGAAGTTTCATTGGATATATTTGAATTATTTTTTAATAATTTCCTTTATAATCATCTCAAGATGTCGTCAGATTTGCTTTTCCCTTGATTCCCCTGAATAATGTTATTATTCTCTCTGGCGTTCCATTGAAACTTTTGTATCTAAAAGTCTTCAAATTTCTCTGTATACCTGATTTGGAATCCTCAATAGGAAATTCTTAGCATCTATTTATTTATTTATTTATTTCGTCAACCAACGTAGACTAGTACAATTAATACAGTTTTGTTTTCTTAAATATATATTTATAAAAAAAAAGTAGTGTCAGCTTTCTTGTCTTTTCTTTTATGAGTTGTTATTTCTTATGGAATAAAAATATTGCTTTAGTTTATGCCGAGACATTGTAAAGTCAATGGTTTCGCAGTGTTTATTGTAAGAGGCCATCATGCGGTTTAATGGCCCATATTTTGCATAATTTGTGCGATGATGTTTTATGGCAAATAAATTTCGATTTCGAGTTGCCGAGTGGGTGCATGGAAATTTAATTTTGATAAAAGTTCTGTTGAGTCAATTCGCTGCGAAACGATATCATTTACAAATGAAACCATTGCATATTCACGACGCTCTTTTAATGTTTGTATGTTTATAAGCATGCAGCGTGCTTCATATGATGGAGAAGTCCAACCTAATTTACGAAGAGCGTATAATAGAAATTGTTTTTGTACTGATTCTAATCTTTCTTCGTGCGTGATTGAAAATGGAGACCATACAATACTGCAATATTCCAGTATTGACCTCACATAGGCAATATATAGTGTTTTAAGTGTGTAAGGGTCCTGAAAGTTATAGCAAAAGCGCTTGATAAAGCCTAGCATGTTATTTGCCCTGTGAATAATTGTATTGTAATGGTCTATGAAAGTTAGCTTAGAGTCTAAGATAATTCCTAAATCCCTAACTCTTTCACATTTGTCTACAGTTTGATTTCCTAATGCAATTGAAATATTTGAAGTTGTTCTTTTTCTACTAAATGATATTAAGTTACATCGTATCTTAGTATTCTTAATAAATCTCCCGAGGTTTCCGTTAATTTTATCCAAATAACTCTTTTTGAAAGTTACCGTTTGAAATAGTGCTTCAAATATTGCTAAGAATTTCCTTGGAGTTCATCTCAGAGTTGGGTTGGAAATGAAAACAGATACATCTAGGAATTCTCAGGATTTTTTCCCAGCAACATCCCTTCAAGTTAAGCCAAGCATTCACAAATCATCCTCCTAGAATTCCCTTTTAATTCCGTAAAGATCAATCTTTTAAATTTGTCGAACCTCTTAACGAAATCCCTTCTAAACCAACACACTCAAAGCTCTTCCGTAAAGATGATTTTTAAATTTGTCAAAATACTTCACTGAAAAGTAATAATCTATGCTTCAAGTAAGTAATTTGATTTAATAATAGATAAAACTTGTGATGTTACTTGGGGTATTTTACCATATTTAGATGTTCCAATTAAACCGGGAAAACTAGGTTAGTCAACCGGGAAAACCTAAAAAAAACAGGTATTTAATTTCTTAAATAGAGTGGCCAGGGTGCACTTGTTTAAAGTCCGTTATCTTCATAATCATTTTAGATTATACAATTTCACTTTTCCATTGTATATGATCTAAATTACCGATGATCATAAATTTCCTGAAGTTTCAATATCCTGGGTTTTTACTCCGTCAACTTGAACGATTTCGAAGCCTCAGATGTTTTTTCAATGACCCGATTTTTGAAAAATCTTTGAAGCTCGGTAGCTTCAGTATCAGTCCAAATATCGAAAAACCATGTAGCAGAATTTTATTTTTTTCTATGTTCATAAAATTGTATTTTTACAAGGGCGGAATCAAAAAAAAAATCCAACCCCAGGTTTTTTAAAAAAACTCTATGTCCAAGATCATGAAATCTTTTCTATGTTTCAGAAGCATTTAAATTGTTCTAGGTCTGTGAACTTACATTCTTCCATATAGAAAATAATTGCAGATTTTCTTAATTTGTTTGTATAAGAGATCGCAAGTCCCAGGATTTAAGAAAATCTCCAATACATCTAAAATTTATCCCAGAATCTTACAACAGCTTTCAAGATAGAAATTTTACAAACTTTCACAAAATTTTCTATGTCCGTAATTTTTCCAAGTAGGTTAATTTTCCTCGCTCCAGTATATCGATAATTTTTCAGTTGTCTAGGTTCCAGAGTTATAAAAATGTGTCTATGTTTGAGGTGTTACAGACCTTTAAATTGCTTGGCTTAATTTTTTTTTTAACTTCTCCGGACTCCAAGATTTCAAAATAAATGTAGAAATTTATTCTAATAAGCAATTCATGATCTGAATCTAAATTCAACTTACTAAATGGTTTGATTCCAAGAAATCAAGGACGGAAAATGAGTACTGTGTGAGGAAATCGAGTTTAGAAATCTAGATAGAGCTGGAATTAGGGCGTAACAGCCTTTGTAAACAATGACTTCTTTCGTTGATTTCTCAGAATTCAAGACACGCCTACACAAACCAACATAACCATCGGGTAGAGGAAGTCTTCCTCTACTCGATGGTGATGTCGATTTGCCAGGAAGAGCCATGGCTTACGAGAAATCATCGAGAGAAGTCATTGTTTACAAAAGCTGTTACGCCCTAATTCCAGCTCAATCTAGAAATGATCGGTGTTCTTGATTATTCAATTAATAGTGATTTTTCGAAATCAAATTTACGGGAACCTTTAACCATTTGTTTTATTTTAAAGAAGCTTGGAAAATGCTCCTGGTGGGCTGTGAGTTCATAATATTTCTCAATGCAGGCCGGAATCAACGACCGATCCGATCAATAAATGTAACTATTAGTCACTTTTTTATTGTTTAAAAGGAGCGCCAAAAGGCAACAGCGATTAGTACCCATTCGTTCCGTACCCTCCAACTTCAACAACCCTTTCGATGGACACCAGGAAAAAAACAACAAACGGTCCTTTCCAGGGCCACCATTTGAAAAACAAAAGGCCCTTTTCAGGGTCAACAACCAACAAACAGACAGTTCTTTCAGGGCAAATACAGAAGGAGTTAAGATTATAGATTTTCGAATAATGAATATAACTAAGAGCAAACCTGTTTGCTCCGACCACTCACGGCCTTTGCGCAACATAATTCAGATCTATGGCTTATATCATGTTATATACACAGTTCAAAAAAGTAGTGTAAATTTCTGTTCAGTATGATGCACATAAATGGAGTGTCACATTTCATATAAGTTTACATTATATATCATGTAAAGTTCTGAGACATTTCATGCAATGTAGCAAATATAGTATACAAAAGCTCATTGTTGTAAACAACATTGTTTACAAGATGCTCGGTTGCGTGAAATGAAATACAAGATTACGTGAATGAATGTTTACATCACAATTAAAATTCAAAAATTTTATCTGTGTGGGCTATTTTGCTATGAGCACTCATACATAGGATTTCCAGTGAAAACTAGATGTATGAGTGCTCATTGCAAGGCAGCCTATATAATATGATGTAAAGTATTCATCACCTACATAGGGTAAATTATGGCTTCGGCACCTATTGACTGTTTTCGGCAACCGAAATTGAAACGTTATTTTCACTCTATTTTCCCATCAAAACTCTTCGCTGAATGTATTAAGCCGATTCCTTAACTTTTCAGCTTCAATCGGATTACATTTTTACGACTGTGCAATCCTGTTATGCCATATTTTTCTTTAAATGAATATACACACTACAAAATACGGCTGATTTCGAGTTGCCGAAAATAGAACAGCTGGTTAACACGCAGTTCAAATGGAAAGGGTGCCGAAGAAAAAGAGACTGCCGACAATAGTCACACTCACCTGAGAAGTTTGGAGCGTTGTAAAAACATGTTCAACCCGTTTTGATCAATTCTGTCGATTGGAATCGGTAGAACAGCAAGCAGCAGATAAATGTCAACAAACAAACCTGTCATGTATGTGTGTGACGCTGAGAA